GGGGCATGGTACACTTCTCTGTGATGTGTGATGCACTACTACATTGCATGAGAATCAAACCCACAGAGAATTTCAAATCTATAACTTCTACCTTTAATCCTGAATGACCATTACAGTATTGTAACAAGAAGTAAAATTATATTTTTTGTTTCTAATCTTTTTTAGGATGGATTTGATGTTGAACACATAGCAGATGCTGTCTTCTTAGATCTACCCGTTCCATGGGATGCCATCAAGTCTGCTAAACAAGCATTCAAATTACAAGGTATAATAAAATAATGTTCAATAGATGATCATACACTTTAGTTTAATAAAATATTCATGTTTCTGCTCATACACACAATTTTATTAATATGGTGTTCATCACATTGGAGCTTTATTTAAAGTTTTTATCATAAATTTTGACAGAAAATTAAAATAATAATTTTTATTAAAATTAAAAATCCATTGATTTTGACAAAGAAAGACCCAGAATCTTGTATAATGTCTCAATAAATAATTATATTTAATGTTCTTCATATAAGTATAGTTTTTATTTTTTCAGGTGGCAAAATATGTTCGTTTTCTCCATGTATCGAACAAGTTCAGAGGTCGTGTGATCAGCTGCGAGAAAGTGGGTTTGTGGAGGTAACGACTGTTGAGTGCATTGCACGTCCATATGATGTCAAAACAATTTGTCTACCACCATACAATATGGGGTACATAGAAGGATCTACTGAGTCCAGTGATGATGCACCAACCGACACAAAACCAAAGTCTTCGTTAAAAGGATTCACTGCCAAATGTGGCATTTTGCCAAAAGAAACTGCTGGGCATACAGGGTTTCTAACTTTTGCTTCACTTTACACTGAATGATATTGTATGCATCACAAACAAGAGCTAACATTGGATTATTTTTTTTATCATCAGCAAAACTGACCAATGTGAAAAGAGGTAGTATATCACTCTGAAATCTTGTACAAACAATGTACGATATTCACTTTTCGCAATTTACTTTTCTGTTTGTGTATGAATCATTAAATAAAATATTCTACCACCGTATTCCTGATCTAGAATTTTTCAGTAGTCTTACAAGACGTAGTGTTAAGCAACTACACATTTCTAGTCACAAACAAGTTTTTATTTGTTTTCAATAGCAGAATTGAGAAATTACATTGAACAGTTGAGAGTACAAACGTCCAAAACCACTGCCTTCAAATTTATCTTATCAGTACTTGTCATAAGATCAGAAAAAAAAAATTTCTGTTGTTGTTTTATGTTTTAGAAAGAATTACACTTAGATAGAATCATCTGTGCAACATTATTTGAATTATTGAATTTGAAAAAAATCACAATTTCAATCATTCGACTCGTATTCATAATTTAATTTAATTCTCTGATTTGATTTGATCTGCTCCGAAACTTTAGTAAGTTTTCAAGAAATGTTAACACATTGTTGAGTTCAATAACTAAATCAGTGATTTAAGTATAATAAAAACTTGTTAGTGTATGAATATATTGTATACATATGAATTGAGTATTTATGAATAAATTCTGAAACAAAACAGTGTGCATAACAGCATGTCCATTACCTTCCTTAATTCATGCACTGTGGGAAATCTGAAAACTCAGTCTGATGATCGAAAAGGAAGGAATTACTGGCTCTTTCCAACTTGAGGACACCACAATACATCTTCCATGCCTTGTAAGGTTCTACACAGCAAATTCCCAGTATCTCAAATATGAGTGCATATGCTTTTGGAGTGTCATGCATTAAAACATGGCATATGTTGACAGCGAAGATCAAACTAAAATTATAAATTGTAATTGTCATATTTCAATATACAGCGAGTAGACAGAATGTGCCGGCTTATAAGCATAATAAATTATGAATACACAATTTACAACATTATGTTCAGTTCTGCAAAACTTACATATTTAATAATTATAATACATGATCAAAATTAAAAACATAATTCTGTTGAATTTATTAAACCAAAAAAGCATTGTAACAAAAAAGGTTACTGATTACTGTGAAACCATTTATTTTGCTGGCATTTAATTTCAGTATTTTGAGCAATTTCGCTGGGTCTTAATTTCATGAACTTGGCAGGGAAACAATGAGTTCCATTGTTATTTTTACTTGTTTATATGTTTTTATGTGGCCAATTTTACTTATTGGAGAAAATAGCGAAATTAAAAACAGTGAATAATTAATGCATTTACAGTATGTTGAATACAAACCATACTTTTGCGAACACTGGGCCATGTTAGTGACAGAATATAAATTACAGAATTGAATGCGAATACACACAACTGCACTCTTGATAATATCAATATTTCAACCAGATCACAGATAAATTATGTAAGTGCTATAGTTATTTGTTGATCTGTAACATGCATACTCAGTTTTGATCTCTTCAATGCCAATGTTAACTTTTGTCATCTTTCACAAAACAAACCTGAATACTGTTAAAACATTAATTATTAATTGATTTTGTTATTTTTCATTCATAAATAAATCCACTGAATTGAACATGTAAAATAACAATAGAACTCAGTTTTCCTTCCAAGTTTGTGAATTAATAACCCAGTGCAATTGCTCGAAGCATCACAATAATTAAATGTCACTGGCAATAAATGGTTTTACAGTATTTGTTCTCAGAATCAAGATTTGTTGCCATTTGATTCAAAATTAAATGAGGATTTATAGAATAGTACAGATTATAGAATAATAAATGCTAGAAAATACTTGTTTGGAATGAATTCAGTAAAGTTTAATATTTTTACAGACAACTAACATACAAACATTGGCTGGATTGCTTATGCTGTTTAATAGATGATTCACTCAAATTCAATCCATTTGACTTAAAGTGGGGGAGGTGTCACCTGCACATGCATCAGATGGTCATAGCGTGTCATTGTTCACAAACAAGCTTCTACCCATTTTAACGTGTGTTGTTGTCGTCGCTTGAGACTCAATTTCCGTGCATGCGCAGCTGGCGACTCTCCCGCTTTAAGGCTTAGGATATATACAAAATAAAGCTAGATGAAGATAATTAATATTCACAAAGTGCCAGATATTTAACTACACACAGTATGCATGTACAAAGTTTTGAATAAATTTGTACATGTATCTTAATATAAAATAAATAGACTGAAAAGTTAATTACTTTGTAAATTAACCAATTATGAGACACAAACTTATATCACATATTCATGCATTTTACCAAACTGTTGCCAAGATACTAAGAACATGTTAAATCATGCAAATTTATCAACTAATTAAAGGATACAACGAAATATCGTAACAAATCATGCTTGGTAATAAATGTTGGAAATGATGGATATTCAGGTGATGCTTGTAAATAATACTTAAACAAACTGGTCACTGGTAGCATAGTGGTTGTTACATCAGACTCATGATTGGTTAGACCCATATTCAAATCCAAGCAGCCTCTGGGCTGAGATAGCTCCGCTGTTAGCAATGCACATTTCAATTAAAGAACAGAAGATATCATTAGAAAATGAACAATATGTATAGTATCAAGCAATGGGACTTGCTGTTTTCAACAAGAATTCAAAATATCACTTTTTACCAAAAATTACAAAAATATTCACCAAAATTAGAGAATTAAAGATATCATTACAAAATGAACAAATCTGAGAGAGGTCCACATGTACATGTAGTACCTATAAATGTAATATAAATGCAATCGGACTTGCGGTTTTTAACAAGAAGTCGAAAATATCACTTTTTACCAAAAACAACCAAAATATTCACCAAAATTAGAGAATTGAAGATATCATTACAAAATGAACAAATCTGAGTGAGGTCCACATGTAGTACCTATATATGTAATATCAAAGCAATTGGACTTGCGGTTTTTAACCAAAAGTAAAAATATCACTTTTTACCAAAAATGACAAAAATATTCACCAAAATTAGAGAATTAAAGATATCATTACAAAATGAACAAATCTGAGAGAGGTCCACATGTAGTACCTATATATGTATTATCAAAGCAATTCCAATTGCGGTTTTTAACAAGAAGTCGAAAATATCACTTTTTACCAAAAACTACAAAAATATTCACCAAAATTAGAGAATTGAAGATATCAACATGAAACAAACAAACCTAAGAGAGGTCTACCCAAGGTAGATATACACCAAGTATCAAAGCATAAAGCATTCAGGCTTGTAGTTTTCAAGAAGAAGTTGAAAAAGTAAAACATTGACACGGACGACGGCGGATGACGATGACGGACGACGACGGACAATCACTCATATGATAAGCTCCGCTCGACAAAGTCGACAGCGGAGCTAAAAAGGGCCGACCCTTACCCTGGATGAGTGTGCCACAGACTGGATGGGAAGGCCAATTCCACTGGCCAAGATTCATTCACTAACGAATACGACGAATGCAAGTACCATGTTTTAACCAATTTAAAGAACTATAAACAAAACATGTTGAAAATAATAAGTTTGTAAATTACCTAATTAGTATGAAAAGATTAGTACCAAAAACTAATCAAGCCTGAAGCTCATCACAAAGTATCTATCTATATGTAACAAATTTCATCCACTCAGTGGTTCTTAACATTTTGATGGAAGAAGATATGACACAGACATACATCAGTAAGAAATTAGCCTCCCTTTATGCCCTGCACACAATATGCAAAATTTTGCACCAACATTCCAAAGATTAAAAGTTATGCCTAGAATCAGATTAACTTTGTTATATCCATTTATCCATGGTAACAATGGTCTATGGGAGTATACCACTGTTCTTTATCATTTGTATTTTGTCTATTGTTTATGGATAGAATCATGCCCACTGATATTTGCTGCACTTGTAACATCACATTTCAGGAATGTCTCCAGTCAGGGGTGGGTATGTCACTGAGTGGGACTGTCGTTTTGTTTTTAGAGATTTCTGACCCCCCCCCCCCCAGTTTATTGGCATACCGACACTAATAGCTGAAAGCATCATCATGTGGTGTTGTTTTCAATATTTGAAAATGCAAGTTTTTGCCATAATCAAAATGTTTAGAGATACAATGTAAATGCAACATTGTTGCTAACTGCAATTCAGGATTTGTTCCCTGATTACAAAATGTCTATGGCAGAAGGGAAGCAAGTCTCACCAAAGATCTTAAGGAATATATTCATAAAGAAAAGTAGATAACAATGGAAACTAGTCACACACATGCACACATATGCAAGCACACACACACACACAATTTTATAATGATGAACACATATGTATGCTAACTATGTTTTAATAGATACAATGTAAGAATCTGAAGGTTTTAAAAAAAAATATTTGTACATAAGAATATTTATTAAACAATGGCAAGATAGTGTGTAAAATTTATAATAGTTTTAGTAAACAGATACTGGTATACTAACCAGTGTAGTCTTCTGTAAAAACAACTAATTGCAAATACTATAAAGATTAATAGATGAATTTTGTTTTAAATTACTGTTATCAGGTATTCATCATTATATAAGTAGATATGAAAATGCACAATTTGATGATAAAACTAAGAATCCTAGCATAGAGGCTGCAGACAGACTACATGAATTATTAAAACAGTTAAAATTGCTATTTTTTTTTATATTATAAAATATAACTTAATATGAAGAATAAAAATTCTATTTTTTTTATAATATATAACTAACTAAATTTATACCAAACTTTGTGAAATCTATAAAAATAAAAAAAATATGGCTGATATTAAGTTTAAATTTAACATAGGATGTAGCATATGCTTCACAATGAACTATACATTTAGGTATTTCACTTTGGATAATATACTATACAGCTTTGAAAACTGATTATGCTGCAAAATTTATATAGTCTCATAAAACATTATTATAATATACACAAAATGAAAATATACCTCATTACCTTTGACCTGAGGTGTCATTTCATAAATCATATAAAAAGAAGGATTGAATTACATTGTGATCAACACATTTCTTAATCGAGTCCAGCTCATTTTTTTCCTTTTATTTCTGCATTTTTTTTCTGTAAAAATGAATTACCAGTTTTAAAATAATGTGAGCTCAGCTCAAGATAGACAACACACTGCGACTAGAGAATAGAAGACGGAACTGAGAACATTCCTTGGAGTTAGAACTAGTCAAGATAGAGGATCAGTTTCTTTGATATGCAGATGACAATATGCCATACACAGTCCAAGTCGTAGACTTATTTTATACACACAAACTCACAGATAAGGGATTTCCACAACCTGCAAGTCAAATAAAAAAAAAGGTTAGAATTTTTGTAGTTGTATTGATCTATTACAATGTATTATGCATAATGGCACAGACACACACACGCATGAAAGTTGATAGTGTATTCAGGGGTAGAGGTGACAATAAAGAGGCATGTATTCAATAGATGGTTGGAGTAAAGAAATCACACACAGGGTCACACCCTACTTGCCAGGCATATTGCATATCATCGTATGTACTTGACGGTCATATTGAATCGTTATCCACTCTTGGTATTAATCTACCAATGTTCATTCAGCATTGTTACATTGCATATAATTGCTGTGGGGGAAATTTAACATTGTTTTAGAATCCAATTTTTGAATTTAATAAGGGGTTGACCATTATAACTTTAAAGGTTGATGGCAGAGTGATCAATAACAGAAAAAACAAAATCTGCTTGCCTACATCTCAGAGAAAAAATATTTCACACAGTGCAAACAAATTACAGCAAATTAATGATTGTACTTACATTGACTAGTGGAATGAATTAATAGATGTATTTAAATCGAGTTCACAGAACCCAAGTTCCCCATGACTTGGGGTAGTAGATGGGCTTGAAGTAAGTTCCATATCAATACTTTCTAGTTCATCCATAAAGCTGCTGGCATCAGAGAAGCTCTGCTCACTCTGATGGCTACTTGATGATGATGATGATGATAATGACTCCTGGTCACAGCTCAGATTCAACTGAAGCTGGTCTATAGTTTCTAGGTTTTGTTTATGCTGTCCTGCAGCTACTTGAATTGCCGACAGATTTGTGCTGTGTTGTACTGTTAACTGGATACAGCCAACTGGTGAGGTCGCGTAGAATGATTTGTCTGCTAACAGTAAACTTTCGTGAGGGTTTTCTCCCATTCTGCTCCCCTCTACAGATGGCACACAATGATCTCTTTCTACTGAGGTGTGCCTCATATTAATATCCTCTTGCCCTATGTTGACATTTGTATCTATATCGTTTTTAATGTCACTACAGTCTTTTGTTAGTGTTAGTAGCGTTGAGGCAAGTTCACGTAGCGTATTTAAATCTTCTTCTGTTAAAGTCTTCTCTTCGTTATTAGGTAATTGTTCACTGGGTACTTCATCTATGGTGAAGTCAAAGTGTGTTTGTGCTGGAGTTGCTTGTCCGAATTTTGGAGATGGATCTGGGGTTAGCATGCTATCTGGCACACAGATCTCCTGTTTGAGTCTAATCGTGCTGTCTGGTGCATGTGGTAACCTATATGGGCAAAGAATATCCAGACGATTACTGGCATGCTCTTGCTGATTTAGCGGGGTCATGGGAGTAACTGGCATTGTGGACGGTGATTCTGCTGCCCAGTTGCATGTCTCAGATCTTTGTTCTCTGTTGGTGTGGGAATCAGTTGTCAGAGTCGACACAATACTTGATGGCGGTGCACCAGACGATTCCTGACTTGTTTGATTGATGGCAGACAAAGAATAAGTACGGAACTTCACATCATAGTTATCATCTAAAGAGTTGTCAAACCGACAAGCTTTGCGCTGTGGTTCTAAACATGATTGATCACTGTGAAGTCTTTTCCGCAGACGTCTTCTAACAAGCTCCATAGTAGCATCTTTCAACGCCACAAATGCATTGTCCTTTGACGAGGATGACTTTTCTGGTGATGTGGGGTTGAGGAACTGTTCATCTGTCGCATCATCCTTCATTGTTTCCGGGAAAAATTCACTCTCCAACTCGTCTGTTGGCCAGGTGCCAGATGAGTCGAGATGTAGTGAACTTGGATACATGTATTCATCTCCCGAAATCATGGTGTCAACAACCACATTCTGTTGGATAGCTTTGTAATACTGCATTTCTGTGTCACTGCAAAGAACAAATAAATAAAAGTATTGTTGAATGATAAAAGCTTC